TGTAGTCCTCGCTGTTCGCGTCCTTATATCGCCATCGTAACCACAACCTCATACTGAATGTGCATCAAAGTGTTCCTATCCAGCCAAATATACCAAAATATGTATGTAAACGACAGAAGAAGCGATCGAAATGTGTATTTCAGTCGAGGCCACGCCTCCACATCTGTCAACCAGTTGATCGGGGAACCAGTCAATCCGGAACACCGGCTCAGATGATTGGTCGTGCTTTTTGCAGCACTACGGCTTCCACAGATGACATTTTGTATGTATTTTTTGTCAAAGCACTTAAGATATTCATTGCTATCGGGATGTTAAGAGCATTCCATGGAATATAACAAAAAGTGTATCTCGAGCCGGTTTCTCAAACTTACCTACCCCACCTTTAATTACCTGTTGTAAAAACTAGGTTCATTCATATTGTATTGACCTGATCACATTGAGTTAACTGTGTTCTGTTTGCCCCTGAAGCTAGCATCATAGACACCAGTCATACAGAGATTAAAATCAGGAACTCATGTTTCCACTATGAAGAATAATCAAGCAATCTTAAAACCATAAAGTAACCATATGGCTAACCACAAGACTTGCTGTGTGTGTCATGCTTTGTAAGGCTAAAACACAGGACTCAGATTTGCAGAGCTTGTTGTATGTGCACTTGACAGCAGACTGATATTTTCATCCCTGTGTTTCAAGACTAAACATCCTCAACCAAAGCACCACTGATTCAAGTCGGTGACAAACACTATTTTACTAGGATAACGGATTAGCAAGAAAACCCTATGACAAACTCAAAAGTCAGTCCTGTCGCACTGCTGTGAAACTGAGGGGCACACATGCTTAACAAGTATGGACATATTTGTCTCAAATCAGTCCTGAAATCTTTTCATCCCAGACTAAACGTCCTCAACCGAAGCACCACACAAGCAAATTCCTTACACAGGCGTGTGTGTGTGTGTGTGTGTGTGTGTGTGTGTGTGTGTGTGTGTGTGTGTGTGTGTGTGTGTGTGTGTGTGTGTGTGTGTGTGTGTGTGTGTGTGTGTGTGTGTGTGTGTGTGTGTGTGTGTGTGTGTGTGTGTGTGTGTGTGTGTGTGTGTGTGTGTGTGTGTGATGGCCACATGTTTATTAGAAGTCACACTCAGATGAAAATTGCTTACACACAGCAGTGGTTAAGCAGGTTAACAAGAGAAGAAGCATGACATAGTTTCACTATGAGTTGTTAGAAGTTTCAATTATCCAGAATTACTCAAATATAGCAGCTAATGTTTTTAGACACACAATAGCTGCTGACTCCATTAGAGGCAGACAGGGATTCTTCAATGGGTCTGTGACGGGCCTCCATCAACACATGATTCATTTGTCAATGTCTCTGTTAACACAAACCAACTGATAACAGCAACCTGTTAAAAAACTATTTTCATCTGCTCAGCAAAAAGTGACCCAATGTATTTTTGTTATAGTTTCAGTTTGTAACAAATGACATAGAACAGCTGTTTCTTATTTCCTGTTCACCGAGTCTGGATTACTAAATTAGCAAAACATCCAGCTGGCGTCCCAGAACTATGTTATGTGTATGAACTGTTTTTAAATCATTCAAATTAAGCTCCATTTGTGAATATGCACCAAATCACAGCCAACGTGATCAAAGACTGCTTTATTACCTGAGGTGCAACCATCAACAGAAGTAAAGGAGGGCAAAGGTAAACAACAAATCCAAATAAATGTCATACTGTGCATAAATACTCAATTTTAATTACCCCAAAATTGTGTAAATGCCACAAGATTTAAGACAATGGGGGGAACATTTGCAAACAGTTAACATTTCTAGGGACTATCCAAAGTCATCCATTTGGCCTCTGACCAAATATGACTGAATTGGCTTTGTTTAAAGTCTAAATCTTCACTGATAGTCCTACTATCTAATTTACAAAGGTGATACCAAAACAATAGCAAAGGAAACTTGAATACTTCCCTTATGGGTCAATATTACTAACAAGTCATGAGCACAGGCTTGACAGTAGACTCAGTAAACAGTATGACGAATGATAGCAGAAACGTAAATAAACTCCATTAAGATGGCCAACATATTCAATCAAGATATAGGCAATGTCATGCCTCAATAATGATATGGTGAAACAGGATGTTTTCTGGTAATACAATGGATAAATAGTCTATAGAAAACCAAATGATGAAGCCTATGCCCTTTAAACTCATGTATGGTTATGACTGAGCATTTTCTAATTTTGAGGACTAGTGTAAAACTTAAAAGCTTTAGGTTAAGAAACAATAAATGAACATAGGCCTGCCCTATATCACGATAGATACATACAAAACAGCCAATTTTATTCATATATATCGTCATATTTCCCAGCCATATCATCAATCACCTTTCACCCCCTCATGTCCACATCACATGCAAGCAGATACATTTAACGGTTGTCGTATTTGCTTAAAAGCAAAGCAAATACGTACTGGCAAATAAATTACACATCAATCTCAAGAGTTGTGATTTGAACAGGGTAAGAATAAGACTATTTTACCTTGGGTGACGTTGCCAGGTTGAATATGGAGATAATTTCATCGTAATCCAGCCGATAAAACAAGCGTTTATCCATGATGGCGGGTGACGCGTTATAATCCAGTGTGTTGTAAACAGTCTCTCCACACAGCAATACATCATTGGAAGATTGGTAATGACCCTCAGGAGGAAAACATTTATTGTACAACCTTCCAGTACATCCATAATGGAAGAACAGGTGGAATTCCTTGATTTTAAACTGAGCATTTTGTATAGGTCACTCATTTCATTTGTTGGAAGAAAAGCAGAGTTGTTGCGGGCTTCATGGTGGCAGTTCCTTCCTACTCCAGCTGTTAGCTTTATTGAGGCTTGTTTCGAGCACTTTTTTCCCTCCAGTAACCGTCGTTTCTTTAGACAACTTGCAGTGGTTATTTGCTCTGAAGTGTTTGAAATATAGCTTAGTAGCTGACATTTTTATTTGTTGCCCCAAACTGAATAAACTCCGAATTTTGAAACGGCGCACCGCACGTGCAGCGCAATTAAACTTTCCAGACGCATTGGTCAAAGGTTACCCCCGCCCACAATGAACTTCCAGACATTTGATTGGCCATAATAGAGTCGACGTCACTAGAACACTTTTTTTCACCAACTTTATTGAACAATTATTCCAATGCATCAGAAAAGATGCATAAACATCAGTGTTCATTATAATAATTAAAAAAAATTGTAAATTATGAACAGAAAACAGAGAAGAATAAAAACAAAACACAAGCGGTCATTCAGTACAGATGTGTGATATTAAGTTTGTAGATCGTTTTATTAGAGAGGCACAAAAGTACTTTTGTTCCTATATTGACATTAACAAATATAACGACTGCATGATGTGACAACCCTGTGGTTGTCCACCAGTTGGTGCTGCTGTAACCTGTGTTTCTTGTAATCAGCAGTGATGACCCACCTGTGGCACTTGCTTCCAGTAGATAAGAGGGCTGCAGAACAGGCTCTCGCTCTCTCTCAGCTGCCCTGCTCGGTGCAGCAGGACACCGCTCCTCTGTTCTGGTTTATTGTTGGTTGTAACCACTGTGTTGGATAAAATAAATGATTGTTTTGGGCAACTCCGGTGTGGAACTGTAGTCCTTATGTTGCAAGCAGAGCCAGCTTGTAACAATGAAAATATGTTGTGGTAACTCATAGTGTAAATCCAAAAACATTTCCCAATTTTTAACAGAGAATTCTGCATCTGACATGCTGGCGAGAAAACCGAGTTTATTCCACTGATATTCAAGACTTTTCAGATTATAGGCTATCAATGACAAAAACAAACCACAGTTGAGATAAAAAATTAAAAAAAATACCTTCAGGAAGGCCTGGTAGCTCCATGTGATGCTAAAGTCATTGAAGTACAATTGCAAGAACAGGTAAAACAACACGCCTCTATCATCATTTTTGTTTGATTAGCTATCCTGTTAAGCCTCTGATCCCATTGGCTAACCGTCACTTTATTGACTTTACAAACACATCAGTTACAGATGATAAAACCATCACATCCCAAGGTTCACTTCTCTTCTGGAGGTTTCCATCATATTACTGTAGATCATCTGCTAATGCCTATATGCAATAGAGCTGTAGATAATTATTTCCAGGACTTCTTATTGATGTTGCATTCAAGAAAGTGAGGGGGAATTAAAATATACAGATCCAAGAAAACTCATGAGAACTGATTGTTTATTAAAACTATGTTTCCAGGGTTAAGCTGGGCAAAATCATAAAATCAAATTACTTAAATCTTATACTTAATTAGCTATACCATATTGTAGAAAAAATGTATACAGTGTACAAATATTAGCATTGAAATATGTATTTGAATACAACAATTTAGAGTACTCATAATGGACTTATGAAGTGTTCATCACTTTCGTATAGCTGGTAAAGGCAGAGCTCATTTGAATTGTGTGGCTCAACCTATATAATAATAATAATACATTGTAGAAGTTACGAGAAAGTAAAGACAAACATATTCTATCTAGTGTTTAACCGCACAGACAATTATGTCCTTAGAGTTCCCTACAATTTCATCTTTATTTAATATTTGCAGAGTAACTAAAACTATCTTCTAAATGAAGTGTAAAGTAAACTATTATCCTTTTACATGCGTGGAGTACGTATAAAGTAGCATACAATGGAAGAGCCCTATACCTATAAATTCAAGTTCTTCAAAATGTTACTTAATTACAGAATGCTTTACAGATTTACAGAGTAAATGTTTACCTTTTTAGTTAAATCCCACCACTGCAGACAATTTGGTTTTGCAGAATGCGTCACACTTGTGTCTGGACCTCTGGACGATTGGATTTCCAGATAATAGCTCCTAGATGTTTGAATGTTTTGAAATAGCTTACAGCGCCCCCTCTTGTTCAGGCAGTCTTTGCAACAGAAAGTGACGTCACCCATTCAGCTGCAGCAGGCAAGTCGAGGCAAACACCGGCTGGATCTCTGGACAGGCGATGCACGACACACACACACACACACACCGACATACACCGAGACAACCTGCGGGGTGGACACACACATCATCCGGGGGACCTCCACACATCAAGTCCCAGTGCATTATACCGGTGTGTTTTGGAACCGGTATTTGTCAGAACCACCAAGTGACAGATCCACGGACGGTGTCGCTGCAGGTTTCAGGACAATGACTCTGGAGGATGAGCTGACGAAAGCCGCAGCGAACGGGAACACGGCAACTGTGGAGGATCTGCTGCGGGCAGGAGCGCAGGTTAACGGGGTGAACAGCTTGGGACACACCGCTCTGCAGGTCAGTGCACCGGAGCCGCGGCATCCCCCGATAGCTTACAAGACAATATTCGCACTTAGAAATATTCATGAATTGAGTTGACCTCGGTGACGTATTTATAGCACCAACTTCTTTAACAAGGCTATTTGACGTTGTTTGTTAATGGCATATTTGACAAAGCAACGCACCTAAAAATGACGCGCAGTTGCGAGAGTTTTAATTATGAAACTGTTTATTTATTGAGGAAATACACATAGGCTATCAATTATCAAGCTTGTATTTTTAATCAAGCTAAATGAAACGAAACTAGAAGTTAGTGTGGAGCCTTTTAATGGTTGCACGATTTACAATTTAGAATTTCGTAACTGTTGTTTTTATTGCAGTTCGTAGTTTACGATTAGCTTGGTCTGGATCTTTACGGTTCAGTTTAAAGAATAACTAATTCCCTTCTTTAAAGTGCCTTTACACTCTAAAAACAGCTGGGTTAAAATCTACCAGAATTGGGTATAATATATATATATATAATATATATATATACATATATAATAGAGTAAATGCACTAGTTTTTCATAACTCCCTCCCAAACTCCTAAAAGAGTAAACCTCATGTGGGATTTAGGGCCCAGTTTGTAATCTCTGAAGCATGTTACCACAACACATGAGCAGTATTAACATCATAACACCTGACATTGAAAACCAGCATAATAGTAGCATTGTTTTTCTAGCCTTAAGTCTAAAGCTCTTAACATTCAGACTAAGTGCATTCGTGTTGTAACTTGAGATCAGGATATCATTAATTGTTAACATTACAGAAAAAGGAAATAATTTTTAGGATATAACTAAAAGGCAGCGTCTCAAATCAGCAGCAGCAGATTTTATTTAGCATTTTGTTGTATTGGGCTGTTAAACTATCTGTTTATACATTCATTTCGAGCTCTTAAGGCGAGGTCGTTTTAATTGGGTGAAGAATGGTTGCTCGATGCACAAAAGCGTGGCAATGAAAATCCTAACCTGGGTTCCTCCAAAACGGAAGCATAAAAGACACAAGTGGAAGTAAAATGCAGGAATAAAAAGCATAACATAGAACAAATATTTATTTATTTATTAGAATAAATACTGTATCACTGTGTCTGTAAAATGTATAGCCTTAATATGTGGGGAAAAAATATATTGAATGCTCTAATGATATGAATAGTTGGTTAAAAAAAAGAAGCGTTCCTGTCGTGTTCGTTTCTTCCCCTTACCTTGGAGTTCCCTGTCAGATTTGACCGGTGTGTTTTAACTTCTCTTATGAACACAAAAAACATGAATTATCATCAAAAATGTTGTAACACCACAATGTCTCAGACTGGTTCACATCTACGGTGAATATACAAAGTATAGACACTGGAAACGTATTCCAAAACGTGTGTGTCTCTTTGACGGGAACACCAGGTTTTACAAATGTGACTAAACCACTCAAAACCCAATGAAAGGGATGATCAGTCATTATTAAAATACTGTGGAGGATATCATAAGGCCTTGAGGCAATCAAATGTAAAACACAATATTTGAGAGCCAAACTAGTCTATGAGCCAAACACGACAGGACGGTTACTGAGCCTATTAGAATAAACGTACTGCAGGAAGCCTGTGGTATGCCGAAACAGGCCAGTTTCATCCCACAGGCCATAAGACTGTTTAACTCCTGAACTTCTGAAAGAACATCCACAACATTCATCTGTTTGCAACATAGCCTATATATATATCTCTCAATATTCCAATTACTTGTATAGACTATTCTGCACTATTTCTATTATATTATATTTTATTTACACTATTATCTGTTTTATTGTGTTGCACTGTTTGAAGAGCCTGTGACCTAAGCATTTAATTGTCATAACTACACTGTAGCTACACATGACAATCAAAGCCTTGCATCTTGAAATGTGGAATAAGAAGATTGTTTATATCAGATAGAGCAATGTATTTAAAAAATAAATAAAATGGCTGTAATCAATCCAAACTAGAATCTAACTCGGGGTATATTCTTCTAAAGGTGATGATGATGGGCAGCTCCCCGGTGGCTCAGCTGCTGCTGCGGCACGGAGCGGACCCGGCGGTGAGTGACCGGAGCACTGGGAGCTCCCCGCTGCACGACGCGGCCCGGACCGGGTTTGTGGACACGGTGCGGCTGCTGGTGAAGAATCGGGCTGATCCGCAGGCCCGGGACAATAAAGACAACCGACCCGTCGACCTGGCCCGGCAGCACGGACACACGGAGGTGGAGGATTATCTACAGTCTCTACCGGACACCGAGTGACGCTGGACGTTAATGAAGGGATACTGGGGCATGGAGGGCCTTCTGTCTGAAACATAGGATGTTTTGCTGTAAAACGTTTTTTTGTATTTATTTATCGGATGTTTTGTAGGTATTGCATTTTTAACGAAATCTTTGTCAATATGAGGCTGTCATGACAAATCAGTAAAATATGGTTATTGGCCATAATGTCTAATAATAGCTACACAAATCGGTTAAGATTTATTCTGCGTTGTATAATAGAAATATTCCGAATATATAACTGTATAGGTGAACAGTCTTCCTATAATATTTGTTCATGACATTGTATTTTTAAATTAAGATTAGTGTTAATTTTTCGTCTAAAACGATATGAGATCATTTGAATAATGTCGACTATTTAACCAAAGCCATTCAAAATGTTTTGCACACCCAACATTAGTGTGACTAAAGCACTATTATGTTTGTTCTGCAGACTCGGAGTGTCACTTCCTGTTTTTACAAATGATATGCAGACCTCGCATTGTATGCACTTTAATAAAATGTCATTTTAAGTGTGTTAATGGTGCAGATTAGAAGCAGCACTAATATGGTAATGTCTATTGTCTAAAGGATGGATTACAACAACAACAAAAGGTACTAAAGAATGAATAACCACAAAAAACGACTATTATATTTTTATTATTCAGTTTCAAATTGTTTGAAAGTTCCACATTAGCTAGCTGACTTTCCTTAGATTCTTCTTAATATAGTTTTAGGAATATTGTCAGAGGGATCATAGCGAAGGCTTTTCCTGACACTGCTTGGTAAATATTAGGCTCATGATTGTTTGTCCTCAGGTGACCTCACAGTTTAACTGATGGGAGTTCCTTAATGTATCTTCAATGGAACGTTTAAGACGTGATGATTACCAGAAGATAGTCAACTTAAAGCAGCTTGGACTTCTGTAATAACGTCTAATGATTTCCTAATAAAATAAAATATAGTTGTACACCCAATGGATTGCCGTTACGGTCTAATGCATTTATACTTGCAGAAAGAACAAGGAACAGGAAACATTAAAAATACACAAACGTGACTAATACCGAAACCCAACAGGAATAATGTCAGGCAGTAAATAAAGTTGAAAGCATCATTCAACCTATAGATATTAACTTTAACATCCAGGGCAATCAGCTTGTATTTTACAATACATTTTGTTCATTATGTCAAACTGTAAGGGACCGGAAATTCCAATCTGAACTCTCTCTTCAGGAGGATATTAATGCACAATTACATCGTATTTTAAAGGTATTTTTCCCATTCATATTGACCTTTCTTAGCCAAGACTAAAAGTATTTCACCCTGTATTCCAATTCATGTTTGAACATGTGTAAAACTTCAATGCAAATGGTAAGATGCTCTAAGTGAATAGTTCACTTCTCTGTAGTTTTTATTGACCGGTTTTGTGCTGAATAATGCATTTATTTTATATAGACAAGTAAACAAAGAGTAAAAACTAAAGTTAGTAGCTGTCTTTAGATACTGTGCCGCGTGATGACATTTAGGAGCAGCCAATGCAGATTAGAGAAGAAAAAAATAGGACACGGAAACATTTGTAAACTTTAACAAAAATTGCCAATTTCATTACATGCTTATTCCTACAGTATAGGTCAAAGTCACTCAGTGTAAAAAATGAAGAGAGTTTTTTAACCCAGTTTATTTATGATAACTGGAAAACAGTTTGCATGTACAGTGCAGATCTTAGCTATACATGTTTTGTCTATATTTATATTGGATGCTGCAGGTTTTTGATTCACAAGCGTCATGAAGAGCAAACACAAATTAAAGTATACTCAACAAAATATTAACAAATTAAAATGTGCCCCTAAAAAAATATATATTTCTAGCATTAGTAACAAGACAACGTTTTGCTCAAAGTGTATTCAGGGATTTGAAATATAGGACTGGACTACAATAGGTTCAAAGTAGACTTTAAAATGAGTTGTAACCAAGGCAACAAAGTGCTAAAGTTGCAACGCATTAAAGCAATAGCAATAAAGACACCAACGGTTTACATGCAAATATATAATTTTGTTAATATTTGTGTATCTTCACCACCAAAAATATAAATCCACAAAGATTGTATATCTAGAATAATCTTTAGAAGACTTTAAACCTTTGTTGATCTTTTGAGATTGTTTTAAATGTTTCTCGTACCTTAACATGATGTAGGACTGACCGCAGAGTGACGACACTGATGCTTGTTCCGGAGAAAAAGGGTGGCCTGTGATTGAGTATGAGGTGGGGGGGTTTTACTGGAGATTCATGAGTGTATTTTAACTCAAGGAAAAACAATAAAACTCTAGCTGAAGACAGAGCACATGCAATAATTATGTGAGGCACTTTCTTGTGATTCACTGATGACAAACGGCAGGCAGAGTTGAGTCGGTGGAGGGGTGGGTGGGGTCCGGGATCCTTTTTCTACTACACTGTTTTCTGCACGCTCAGTGTTTGGGTAACATCACTGAAGACTGGGCCATTGTCTGCAAGAGAAAGAGCAAAACAGCCTTGTTTCCCGAATACATCTCACCGATAAACAGAAACTATCATTACATTTCAATCCTGTGAGTTTCAGGTTAGTCTGAGGTAACAACAAAAAGGAAAAACAGCAGACAATTTGATTTTTTTAAAGCTTCAATAAAAACAGATGTTTCTATTATCTTTACCGCCAATTAAAAATCAAATCTTTTATCATTAGGGAGCTTTTTAGAAGTGTCGAGTGTGAATAATGCAAATAACAAAAGATCACTAACAATGTGTTGGAACGCTAGTCAATAAAAGCGAGAGTTACGTGGGAAGGAACTTTGGGATTTGAGTCTTTGCAGACCATGTACATGCACAGAAACCTATGTAACACTACAGGAAAGGGAAAACCCCTAAAGCAGAATAGGGTCATTTTAAATGATCCGTTTAAAAAATGTGCACCGGTAATCACACATTTATTATTTTGATTACCGCATAGTTTGAGTTAAGACTGTAATATAGTCGGGTGTATGTACCTTTTATGCTCAATGTTTTTAAACACAGATTTCAATATTAAGTCAAACCAGATGGATTTCATTGTGTTAAACCCAGTGTTGGGACTAACACGTTACAAAGTAACGCCGTTATTTTTGGTAGTAACTAGTACTCTAACGCAATACTTTCTAAATCCAGTAACTTAGTTACCGTTACTACATGGTGCGTTACTCCGTTACTGCGTTAGTTTTTTTATATAGTCAACAGCCAGGCGAACAGAGATGAGAACTGTACTTAAGTACAGTACTTGAGTAAATGTACTTAGATACTTCCTGTGTCACATGCGGAGACGCGCTGTGGGCTTTGTGTTGTTTACTAACAAGACCATCATGGCGGCGGCGGAGCTCAAGTCTAGTTTCTCCACCTGGAGATATTCTCACTATTTCACTTTTGTCGAGCACAAAGAAAAGAACGTTTTAGTTAAATGTAAGTTGTGTCTTGGCGGGTCAAAGATCCTATCTACTGCCCAAACCAGTAATTCAAATCTCTTAAAACAAATGCAAAAACAACATGCTGGGACGAAGCTAGTAGCTAAGACCACAGAGACTCAGCCGACGCCACTCCACCTCCACCTAAGCAACAGCGGCTGGATTTTAACCAAGGGACTGCTATCCAGGGAAAAGTCGATAAAGCCATTGCACGGTATGTTGTAGAACACATGCAGGCTATTGCTACAGTGGAGTCACCCGCTTTCAGGGAGCTAGTTAGCATGATAGCATGACCGGGCAGCACACGGCATATGGGACGGAACACTTTTTCCAACTACCTGGAGAAAGAATATACAAAAATGGAAAGCCAGCTAATATCGATGCAATCCAGATAGTATATAATGCATGTCAAGTTGATCAACAGATTGTATTATTCTCCAATGCAATAACAGTACTGAAATTAAGGCTATAAGGGCTTTAATGGGAGCCATTTGTGTAAGTAACGAAAACGTTACTTTTCACAGTAACGCATTACTTTTTGGTGTAAGTAATCAGTAAAGTAACTGAGTTACTTTTGAAATGAAGTAACTAGTAATGGTAACTAGTTACTGGTTTTCAGTAACTAGCACAACACTGGTTAAACCCTATGAAAAGCTGCAACACAGCACCATGGCAGTGTCTGAGTCATCGCACTCTTATGGCCCTACGACTTCTCGATAATGACCACCTTCATGACTGTCTACTGTTTTCAGAGATTCTGCTCTTTCGAAACACAGTGAAAAACGTGGCTCTGTGATAGGCAGTATAAATGAGATGTCCTTTGGAGATAGTCTGGTCAAATGTCAACAGACCCTATTTCACAACCTCTCTAAAGACATACAAAATGGGAATGAATCATAAAGTTGACAACTTACTTTCAAAGTCTTAATTGTGTGTGCCCAGTCCATCTGACTGATCTGAGGTATGGCAGTGAGCAGGATGCTGCTGGCCTTGTTGGAGTTCTCCTTCATCGTCTTCAGGACGTTGTCGACACAGACCTGTGACAAGGGAGGAAAAACATCCGGTGATAAGAATCACTGACAGACATGCAAAGTCCTTTAAATGTCAATCACTTTATACTTCCAGGTTAAAATGTACTTTGACATTAGCAATGACGGTAAAATGGAACCATCGCATTGTAAATAACCTTGTAAATAAAATATTAATAGACATGTATGGCAGCAATGCATGATGGAAGAAAGACACTGATAAAATTACATGTTGTTACCATTTCAAAATATCCAATTTAATTAAAAATAAATGTAATCGGCAAATAATTACATTTTAGATGTAAAGCCGATTATGAACAACCTTATGTAAATATCTTTATGGCACTGCCGTAACGCTTTAAATTAAGGCAAGGCAATGGAGAAGATCAGTATATTGTTTTTCTGGCAGCCAGCTGTGCCCTTTACTCCAATGAAGTATTACATGGGTTTCATTTTGTAATTGAGTGTTGAGCCATTTCACCTGACATTTCTAAGACACTGGCAATCATCACATTGTTCACCTGACTAACATTGTGACAAGAAGAGGGAAATGCATTTGAAAATGTTGCAATAAGTCTGCTATTTTGTATCTTCTGTAATGACGTAAGGAAACTGAGGCCTCTGAAATACAGAAAGGTCTGCATGAAAAGAAGCGATACGATCAGTTACTCATTAATACAGTGGACAGTACATTAAGTCACAACATCACTTCTGTTTCCTGTGTTTTCTCCTGCGACCTTGATTAACCCCCCTCTTTAGCGCTTTGTGTTTATATCACAGTCAATGACTAGGCTCATGATTTTGTGGTATTTGCAGGAGGAAGACAGTGCAGCTGATGACTCAGAGTGACTCAACCTCCTCTGGCAGGGCTTCCACCGGAGGCTGGAAGGCAAGCAGACTGAGGCAGGAGGTGGTAGGAGGCTAGGAAGGAGTGAAGAGGGAGGGATGGGGGGGGCGGAAGGATGGGGGGGGGCGGAAGGATGTGTGGCGAGCGTTCGGCAACCGGAGGGGGAAGAGGTCAGCTGCAGGAACTCGGAAGTGGAGTTGTGAGTTTGGCTGGATCTGTGTCAAATAAGCCCGAAACCGCCCACACGCCGTATATCAGCCGCACTATCGGAATCTGACAGAGGGGGGGGGCAACCAGAAGC